GTTTTCACAAGATTACTTATAGATTACCAAATCATGTTCAGAATCTTTTCAATTCGAATTCAGGCTTTCGAGCAGAGTATGACATCTAAAGGAAAACCCAGTTGCAGACTGTTGACGTATTATGAACTAGTAGACAACAGTGACTTGCTAGTGTGCTCTGTATACATATTATTAACCAACAATTGTGCATTCATATAATAATGGGGTCGCTTTAATGATTGTATTTATGTGCAAAATTATGGTTTTCTGAGTTATGATCCGACATGAACACCAGTTTCTGATCGATAATCAATTTATTATTAGCGCATTCCACTGATAAAACATTTGTCAGTTCTTTCCTATAATCATCATGAGTTCAATATGGTTTTTGAAATAAGAAGGCTTTGCTAAGACATGCACAATCGTGCACATCGGACAAGATGCATATAGCAACTCATTAAACTTTACTAGGTTGCTGTTGGCACGTCCAAGTTCCATGTACGAACACACATACAAACTCTTTGTTCTTAATTAAATCCTCTCCTAGGTCACATATGGTGCAACGAAAACATCTTTGTAGATGTAGGTGTAGGTGGGATTTATGGTTCTATTACATGGCCAAAAACACAAGCAGGAAAACAAGCAAAACTAAAATGTACCGCAGGAAACAAGAAAGGATGGATGTACAGGAAATGCTCCTCAAGCGGTAGTTAAGAGCTGCCTGATTTCAGTGAATGTCAAAATGCTACGAAGGTGAATACACCTAGACCTAAGGTATACAATATAAAGTTTACAATGAAAAACTTTGACAAAACTAGATTTATTCGGGAGATAAAAATTTGTATTTTAAAACTTATATATATAATATATCTCTCCRAGTTTCGTGCTACGCACTCATCAGAGAGTATTTAAAGTAAATTGGTATATCGATAGTTTAAATACTGTCTGATAAGTGCGTAGYACGAAACTCGGAGTCACAGCAAATCTTGCCTCTTTGATATTATAYATATRATTAGCTCTACACTWTATRTGTATTGAGCACTCTTTARTGGGATCAGCTACTTCCTCTATATGATTATTTTAAAACTTATTTCTTTTTTTACASAATAAAACAAAGAATGCCAGCCCAAAAGCCAAAGTCCAGCAAATAAAACAMAACATTAAATCTGGTTCACCGAAAGGAAAAACTAAAAAGGACGTGGATAAAGCTGTCAACGTTCTTGAAGATGTTGCAAAGATAAAAGACAAACTTAATGAGGTAAGGGTGTGGATTGTTTTTTAGTGAAACTGATCATGTGAGACTAAACGACGTCGATACAAAAATGGTTGAGCATAAATTGCAGTTCACATAGTTTAACCGAACAATAATGAGGGGAAAATGTGTCTCTGTCCTCTGATATAAACACGGTGGGAGTTGAAAAACACTCAAGAAGCAAGAGATACACTCGCTACGCTCGTGTTCCTAAGCTGACTTCTCTCATGTTTTTCGAACTCCCACCGTGTTTACATCAGAGGACAGAGACACGCGCGTCGTTTTATATTTCTTAAATAACTAACTCAAATTGCATGACTAATCGTTGTAGGGAAGCGAATGATAATGCTGATATAAAGCAAGACAGTAACTATATTTGACATTCTTAATCCCTGATTTACAGACTGCTATTGATATCATTGAAACTATCGACACCATTATGGACGTRAACGAAACGATACTTGCAGAAAGTACGAATGCTACCAGCAAGTAAGTAGACTTTGCTTCAATTACAGGCTAATAGTATGACTTCAAAACTTTGACTTTGGATGGKTCCAAATGTGGAAAGTCAATTGTAATCAATAAGAAATTGTACAAATATATTTGTAGGGTSGTAAAGATTTTGGAGCTGATTGCAGAGAACATYCCAACAAACRAGAAAACTAAGACTACGACACTTAACACCACTAACCTGCTATTACAAGCTGTAGATGTAACCAGGAAATCTTTTCCAGGAATGTCGTTTGGTGTCTCTYCACAAGGSACCRTYTCTGAAAACTCTGCAAAGGCAAAAACCTCAGTCAAACTCCCAAACTCTYTGCTTAGTAATGCACGAACAGAATCTGTTCGCATTGGGTTCATTCGCTATGGAAACAACAAACTTTTTCAAGAATCAGACAAGCAAAGCGGTTCGAGAGTTATTACAAGTAAACAAGTGTTATCAAGCAGTGTGTACAACGTATCAAYATCAAACCTGACCGATCCAGTTGTGCTGAGATTCCCAGCGCAATCAGGAACCACAATTGGAAACAAATCGTGTGTATTTTGGATGGAGCAGGGTAAGTGAACATCTTATCATATACATATATGTCTTATCGAAACATTTCGAACCTGATATGTTATATCTTGACATGCAGCTCGTCAGTGGTCAAGCGCTGGWTGTTCCTTGTGTTCTCACCAGTCCACCAAAGACAGCGTGGAGTGTTGCTGTAATCATCTCACAAGCTTTGCTGTCC